CACCCAAAAGCATTAAAAACCTAAAAACTTCAACACCATTATCCTCCTCCTCATCTCCCTCTCCCATCTTACTCTTCCATTCTTTTGCCAACCTTGTTCCCCTTTTCCTAAGCCCTTTCCCAATCTTGGGTTTCACTCTCATCAACTGTTCCAACAAAAGCACAGTACTCCTTCTCACAATGCCCTTTTCAATCTGCAAAGAAAACCCTTTTGAAATAGCATCCAAAACCAGTATTGCTGGATCAGCTGACACTTGTAATGCACAGTAGACCTCATCGGCAATCTCCTCTAGCTCATTCTCGTGATCATTTAAGAACAGTAACATTCTTTCTCCACCTCTACAATCAATCAACTTCAGACCCAGCTCCTTCGATCGTAGATTTACTTCGTTTTCTCTAACCTCAAGTTTTTTAAGCCGATCAATGATCTCCTCTTCTTTGGATTTGAGTTCTTTCAAGCAGGTTTGCATGGTGGATTTGATTGAGAAAGAGAGGTTCTCAAGCTCTTTCCATTTGAGACCAAGTGATTGATCAGGACGGAGTTGCTCCAATGTCTTCCTCAGCTCTTGTCTCTTCGATTCTAAAAGCTTCAAATCACTTGAGATTTGATCCAGTGACAACATGTTTTCCCCGAACGAGAATCAGAGAAAAAGAAAAAAGAAAAAGAACCCAGAAGAGGAAGAAAGGAAGAGAATTTGAAATGTTGAAGAATTGGGAAAAATGAAATCGACAAAACCCAGGGCGTGGAACTGTTAAAGAACTTTCCTCGAGAACTTCAGTAGTAAGGAAGAAGCAGAGAGAGACAGTGTTGTGGAAACTTTCTCAGGAAGCAAACAGGGGTCAATACAATTAACATGAGTCAAGAGTGGCACTTTATCCAAAAGAAAAAAAAAACGAAAGTGGAGATTCCTGAATTTTTCCACAGAAACTGTTGGATTATAACTGTTAATCAAAATGTGATAAAGGAAGAACATGTGGTTTTGGGAAGATAGAAAAAGCCTCTGCTTGATCATTTACTGTTAATCATCTAAACAGTGAGGGCCTGCTCGGGAGAGAGGGACTGATGGAGAAGGGATGGAAATCAGAAAAAGAAAAAAAAAAAAAAAGTAGAAGGGGAAAGAATTTTATTTTTGTTTAATAAAATAATAAAAATGAATTAATATTTTATTTATTTTTATGATTATTGTTTAAGATATTAACAAATAATTTTAATTAAAAAAATTATAAATTTTTTTTTATAAATATATAAATTTTAGCATAAAGCAATATATAATAAATTAAGCCAAAATTATTTAAAAGAGAAAAAAAGAAAACCTTTTTATTCTTATTTATTATTATTTTTCATTTTAGATTAATTAAATTTTTTATGAATTACTAATAACTCTACTTTTTGTAAATAAATTAATTAATAGTTTTTATTTTTTTTTCCTTTAAATTTACTTTACACATCTATTTAATATTAATTATATATTTTTAATGACGGTTATAATAAAATTATAGACAGATAATATTTAATTTAATTTACCATTTAACATTTAATTATTTTTTTTTGAAGATTATAAGTTAATAATAGTTAAATATATAATATTTAATTTAATAAAATTAAATATTTAATTTATTAATAATCTTAATTAAATTTTAAAAAATTTACGATAATTTACAATAATTAATATATAATATTTAATTAAATAAAATTAAAAATTATATTAAGATAATAATAATCACATAATTCCCATTGCTTTGTTATGGATCTCACATTATACATGCTGAATAAACTGAAAAAAAGAGGTGAGTATGGATTATAGTTAGTGAGATATATAAGTTTTTACCCAAAAGAATCAGACTTCTCTGAATCATCCAGACTACTTCAGAACTAATTGCTTAAAAACCCATTCACAATCTCGGTACCTAAACTTCAAGCAGAGATCGATAATAGGTCCTTACCCCCAGACGGATCGAGAACGGGAGTTCCTGTTAAAGACAAGTCTGATTCTACAAGCTTGGAGATTCGGGACAGATCCACAAACATGTAGAGATTCTCACATCAAAATGTGTTCGTAGAGAAAAACACGAATATGAATACAAACTACCCTCACTTCTCTGCCAAAGTGCACGTCAAGCTTTTATACGAACCACGAAGGAACCTGTTTAATGCAAAAAAAGATTCGCAGAAACATACAATGTCAGGTGTATTATGCAGATAAAAGTGTTAAGAGGTATATAAGTCCTAAATGTAGAACAAAGATTAAAGATGAAAAGAACAATAAATTAAACACGAGTTCATCATAACTGTCAAAACTATACTTGATATCAAGTGAGAAAGAGATTGCACAATTTTGTATGTTGTCTGCCAAGCTTCTTTTTTTTTTTCACTATTCTTCTCAACCTTCAGAAACTGATGAATGCAATGCTTTTTATATATATATATACACACATAACTCATTAACACAGTCCAGTACAGCCTTCTTAAGTTTCACAAATGTCTCCTATTTTCCTCTATAATTCTAATACAGAGAACATCATAATATCGATCCCTTTGTTTGTACCCATTCAGTGATATTTGTTGTATTTATATAGTATCATCAAAATAGTGAGTCCTTTTCAAATGGATAATGGCATTCTTGTCATCCTTCGTTCAAAACACTCACAGATTTAGTAACTTAGTACCCCCAATCAAAAACATAATTTAATCCTATGAACATATGTGAAGCTAACTATATAGACAGTTATACAGCCTAAGAAACAATAACGAACATCAAAAGGCAAAACAGTACTAATAATGCTTTAGTTATACATAATATGGAGCTGGTAATTTGAAAATAAGAAATGAATACAAAGATTACTTGATAAAATTAAAAACTAAGGAATATAAAAGGAATGTGGAAATTAAAAACAATCAACTTTGGGGAAAACAAGAAACTCACAAGTCATGACTACAGGAAAAGTACTATATGAAACTGGTCAGAACAATACTATAAAAGGTTATTAAGGCAATTCAGGAAGAAGCAAACTATAGAATCAAGCTTTGCTAGGAAGATTATGACCAAGCCATCGATAAAATAAAACTCTAAATTGTTACCCACTGCAAGTCAGACGGACAATCTCAAAGTAATGGATAAGGAATTTTTATAATGGTATGGTCGAAATGAGCTTCACTAAACATCATGAACTATAAAAGCACATGGTATTCAAGATCAGGCAACTAATCAGAATCTAAAAATATAAATAATAATGTTGAACGGTCCCCCATAACTTATGATTCCATGCTTCATAACATAACCAATTAGTAACCAAATGAGCATAGACTCAAAAGTGCGGAGCATTCAAGAGTGGGCAACTCACATGCAGGAAGGTTTGAAATATCAGCAGAAACTGCACAAGGAATGCCCAAATTTGAAAGAGCTCCCCTTATGATTCCACATGGAAAATAGAGGTACATGCTTATAGCTTGTGCTGCCTTGTTTTCAGCCATAGCCGCAGGATCCTCAGTTTCCTTTTCAGATAATGGATCCATGGACATGTGGGCAAGCCAGCGAAACCGATTGTCTTGCAATACAAAGGTACCCTAAAGATAAAAAATATGAAATCACTTCTTTGAACTCAAATCACTGAATTAAGTAACCAGTAAATTTTTAGCTCTATAAGAACTTACTCTATGATTTGTCTTCAAATTATCTATCTGCTTTTTAAAGAGTTCAGACCAGAAATCCTTGCAGATGAACTTAATTGCTTCTAGATGATCACCAAATCGCGGCCTTTCCATGGTATATCTAACAACCGCGAAAACTTAAATTCTCACATCAGATTATAATATTATCAAGTAATATCAACATGTCAAACCCTATTCTCAAATCTTAAACAACAATTATTACTCCCAAAAAAATCACAATACGACAATTCCAAGTCCGTAACTTATTGCCTAGCACCTGATAACCAAAGCAATGAACATGATTTCCATGAAAATAATTTTCCAATTACGCTTAGAAAAATAACTTCATTAATCAAAATTTTAGGGTAGATATTTCCTTTCTAGGATAATAGAACTGAAACACAAGCTTCTCTTCCCGAAAATTGGAAGGTAAAAGAAAATCAAGCTAAAACAGAATACCTAGATGAAATAATCCCCCTTTTTTCCCTACTTGCCTAACTTTCTCAGCAACCAAACACATACTGAAACGACAAAACGAATATAAAATACTAAATAAAAAAGCAAAATTCGCAATCACCAATGATCAATCAAGTTATCCTCCACAGCAGATCTAAAGATTATTTCTTAAATTAAGTAAATAACACGAGACGGAAACGCATCGACCAGTATGTACAATAAGAGAAGAATCAACGAAGATTGAA